GACCAGAGCCAAATAAGCAATGGGGCTACACTACCAGTGGCAAGACCGATAGAATAATAGTCCGCCTGGCATCTGCAAACAATGCGCCAATGCAGATGGCCACGACAACATGCTCGATAATCTAAGGCAAGTATGCACCAACGGAAAAAATCAAGAACACTGTGTGCCTGCCTACAAAGCCATAGGAACTGAAAATATTAGATAAGTACATCAGGAACATAGACAGCTTCCGGACCATAGAAGTGCTCATGCCTTGAGTATAACACTATATAGACACGAGACACCTGCCTAATGCCTACGCAACCTATCATTAATATGCCTAAGGAGCATAAAGACGCTCAAGACCGCGTGCTCACTGTAGCACACGAGGTCTGTACTCCTTCAGTAGTCACTATGCAACAAGTCAGCTCATATCTTTATACAGCAGACCATCCAAAAACTCCAGTGTCACATTGCCAACAGAGACCTCACCTTTGATGCTTTGACGTGTCTGTACAATGCAGTGGACACCACCCAACAAGAGCAGGCGCGCCTGATCAAGATAATAACCAATGATTGTACTTGCATGACCTGCGACACGATAGTAAGAAATGGTAAAATGATTGATGCAAGTAACAGTACTCACCTGTACCAAGCGCAAGATAATCCGGTTGGCTGCTTGCAATACCGACTCGTTAATCCCACACCACACACCTATAATGCAAGATCAGAATAGCATGAGCAACATTTGTATCCCTTGCATGAACCCCGACCACAGCATGCACACCGTTTGCACCAACCCAGCCAAGTGGGCAGCCGGCCAATGCGAACGGGACATGTGCAAGACTGGGTGTGCCTTGGAGAAGCATTGCACATAGCATGTATATAGCATAGTAGACAGTCTAGATTCCATGTGATCTCACATGCACAACCTTATGAAAAGGAGCGAAACATATGAAAAGGTTAAGCACGATAGCTGCCTCAATATCTTCCACCAGCTCTTTGAGATGGCATGACAGTGAGCGACAAGACGCAAGACCAAACTCGCACATCCCTTGGGTGACATTGCCCGACGTCAGCTCGTGAAAAATGGCCGCAAGCACACCACCTGCATATGACCTGGAAAAAAAGTCAGTCAGGCCGAGGCTTTGCCTTGGCGGACTCGGGCAAAAGCACACACACTATTTATGTCCTCTCAGGGATGTGACAATTCTTTGAACTCGGCCACAAGCTGTGTCTCTTTTGAGCCCCAGAATTAAAGTACAGCCCCTCTAAGGCGTTACTGGGGCTCTCTTATGTGGAGGCCAGTTCTTTCAAGGTGGTAGAAGAACAAGCTGTCTTTGCAAGAAGATTGTGATGTTTTGCTTCACCACTACGTGCCCAGCAAATCAGACCTCGGCCCTTTGATCTAGAAAGCCTGCGGACTTGCATATGAGTGATATCCCTCAATTAGCCAACAAGCAAGTGAGGAACATTTCCTTCTCACACTGCTTCCAAGCAGTCCTCAGCCCATGTGTTACGGACACCCAATTATCCATTATTCTTTTCCTTTTTCCCCCTTTTCTGGAATCTCATGTACAACTCATCTAGTTTCTGCACCTTCTTTACAGTTGTTTGCCCCGTCAAACCTATATAAGACTCCACCCTCGCTTGTAACTTACTCTTAACCTTGATCTAATCAATACACCGGCTACCTAGCCGCTTGCCTTGGTCTCTCCGCTTGCCCTTTGTCTGTGTTAGTAAGTGGCTGCCTAGCTGTTGCTGATACCATGCAGCAATATACAGTGCATTCACCACTTTAGAATAGGTACAAATGTTGCCATACAGCAGTCAGAGCCAGATGGTGCATTGGGGTGCTCTAGCGCCTTCCTTTTTGGGCTATATGAGGCACTGGCCTTCGGCCCGAGTTGTGCTCACTATGCGAGATGTGCCCGAGCTCCCGCCCACATGATAATCTCACCCCCTTCGCTTCCCCCAGCCATATCTCCCACATCTTTGGACCTATTCCCACATATATAGTATATATGACCTTAAAATGAAATCTAGTATTTGATTCTGTACTCTACTAAGTTATGGGAGGCACAGTAAGGGCCAGGCATACGATTTTGTACTGAGTGTCAAAGAGCCCAGCAAAAATCAATTGAACTGTGATGCTGCGCTGGCCAGTATTTTTTGATAGAAGATGTTTTGACAGGGAAGGGATTATGCTGGCGCCTCTACTGCCTTTCCCTCCTTCATCCCGTTCTCTTACTGTACTCTATGTGATATCTATGGAACTGCACTGCAGAGCTCTATGCATAGCAGTGGCCAGGGCAACAAGAGAGGGTGGAGACAGGGCAGGATGCGCTAGCTCAGAGTCTTCTCTAAGTTGGACTAGCCAAGAATGTCCACAGAGCCCAAGGGCATATACGTCCTTATTGTACAGTTCTGCTTTCTGCTCGTACAGTAACATATGTGGTATGGGTGAGCTCGCAAACAGCAGAGCTGTACACCTGTGCTCTTATTTGAGGGGGGATGGGAGGTGCACAGGAGGTGTGGCCGTTCGAGTATGTTTGATGCGGGCTGAGTGTTGTTCCCATGCTGAGCTGCCAACTGCTTAGCAGGAGTATGCCGCCGTAGGACCTGCTATACTTATTTGATAAATATATATGTAGTATCAAAATACTCATTGCAACGGTGCCTATAGGTCTATTCACTTTTTCCGGTGGGGGGTTGTACAGGCTGCGTGAGAGCTTCACCCTAAGGTGACCTCAAACACATGCTCTAGTGGCATTATCATACTTGCAGTTCTTAGTCTTCAACTCATAGCTCTCTACTAATAGAAAATACCAGTACATAGCACTGGTTTACAGGATTGTGGTGAAGGTAAATATATCAACAGAGAGTGACAACAAATGGGCAATACTAAACTAAGGGCTCAACCTGCACAATGTGGTACTTCTTCGCACAGGGCTTGCAAGCAATGTAGATCTGTTGGGCAGTGTCTTGCAGCATCTTGTTGCGGAGCTTATGTGATTCAAGCTCCTGCACAGAGAGGTGCACCCAGTGCATCATACTGTTGTCTAGGGCCTTCTTGACGAGCACCAGTTCTGGTATAAAGGGTTTTGCAGGCTGAACCACTAGTTTGTCTACGAGTGGCCAGTGTACAACTGCATACGGTTTAGCCACCTAGACCCGAGAGTCCTGCTCATTAAAGGCCTTGTTTGGCCCGAGATTCCCAGTCATCAACTGCTAATTGTGGAGGGCTGTAAAAAGGTATAATATATTTGATGCAAATGTCGGCGGTAGAGGGTACTGGTATGGCAGCTCCAGCATGAATATTGATACCCGCACCCGCAGCAGGCCATAAATAGTATAGATACTGTACTGTGCAGTCGAATGGACGGTAGTGGATGCTGGGAGCAGATGATCCATACGGACACATGAACGCGGAGGTAGAATTAATACTGTATAAAAATACTGTCCTAGCAGCTTAGTCGGATAGTAAAGCTATAGGTTATACCATGGATACTAAATAAAAGATACATCCGCAGCACTAAAGTGCACTATGGCCAGCTAATCACGCTCTGGCCATTGCTCTAGATGCTGTGCCGACCATGGAGGCAGAGCTGCTCATCGTGCAGACAGCCATGCTCCTTGTGATAGATAATCTCAAAGATAATAAGCATGCTGCGGATGAAAAAAACAGGAAAAAATAGGAATAGGAAAGAATTATGGTTATGGAAATTGCTAAATATATCAGCATTCAGAATACAAATAGAAGTACTAACAGACTATAGTATTTCAAAATATATCAAGCAAAGAAGATGAAGTGTATCTTATAAACAATAAACTCTAGTACTAATGACAATAGTAGGATTGTTAGGGTTAGGGTTAATTAGGGTTACAGTTAGGATTAAGAGTATATTTATAGTTGGTGTGTAATACAACTCAAATTACATTTTAATTAGTATTCTTAGTTATAAATACTCTTCAATATTAATAATATCTAGTCACAACCAAGACAGTGAAGTCTTTTATCACATGGATCTGAATATACTGAGCTTGGGTAAACAATCACTGGAAAAGCGATAAATGAAGTTACCGTGCTGATGACTATTGTTCCTATACTGTAGTAGGTAGACAGAGAGCCAAAGGCAGACGTGGATGCGGGCACGGATGCAGATACGGATACAGATGCAGATATGGATGTAGATGCGGATACAGATACAGATGCGGATACAGATACAAATGCCAGATCTATATATTATTTAGCTAGCTGTTCTTTGAGACTGCCCTCTCTATACTGTGCTGCATTGCCTGGCTTTACCCCAATGATACTTGCATATAAACTGTATATATCTCAGTAGGCCCTTTACAGCTGTTCACGAAAACCTTGGTTTTCGTTTTCTTTTTTTCGCGTCGTGAGCGCAGGCACAAACAGGCACAAGCGAAAAAAGGCGCCCACCGAACGCGCACACGGGCACGCCGGCCCGCCCACCGCGCGCGCGCGCAGCATGTTCAACTTGTGTGAATGGCACTCTCACTACTTCGTTTCGACCACCACCATCTCCACTACCATGACATCCTAGCTTCCCAATTCCTCGTCATAGAGATACCTATCTCCCCATCCTTTACATGATGCCCATACTCACAAACACGCCTTCGGACTTCAGCTAGTCGTGTCGAATCCCATATATTCAATCATTTCCACTCCGTCGACTCCTCCCCTGGGCCCTGGCGAACCTTGCTGTATGAGCATGCCCCTACATATTCTGCTTGGCTTGGTGTATAGACCCAGATGAATTTGTGTACATATCCTTCTACATTACTGTCCGAAATGTGCATCGTACTCTTCAGCATCGGCCCCTTCAATGATGCTGTCGTCGGTAGTCTCTATCGGTATCTGTAGCGATAGCTCATATATTAGCACAGATCCGAAATCGTCGGGTACCTGGTCGTGCAAAACCGGCTAGCTGTTATTCAGATCTCTGCTGCCGCTTTCGCTCTTACCCCCACATTCTTTCCTACAGCTTGTTCTTATGGCTAACCCTTGGGAGCCAGCCTTTCCTCCCCCGCCATATCATCATCCCCCGTCATACGAGGCGATTGCAGATGATAACATCGACCCGACCCTTCGAGACCAGCCACGGATCGGTCCGACTTCGCAGGACGAGGAGCCCATCATTATTGATGACTCGTCGTCTCACTCGCACTCTCGCCGTTCGAGCCTTGACTCGCTGGAGGCCGGGGAGCAGGAGATATTTGGTATGTTTACATACCTTTGCTATTTACTAGGTATACTCGTACTCATGGCTTGGCGAGCAGGTCACGTCCTTTCTCGTTCAGCAGTCGCCATGCGTACTTCGCCGACAACTTCGCCGGTGCCACCTCCCTCGTCTGACCTTCCTCCACCCACACCATCCCCTGCACCTCGTTGCCGTCAGAGAACAACGCAGCCTGCTCCCACTCCCGCTCCGGAGCCTTCGTCTTCCATGCAGTCGTTGTCTTATCCCTTCTCGCTATACATGTCGGTCGAGCAACCCCTCGTCAAGGCTGCTGCATCGGGCAGAAAGCCCGGTAGACCGCGGAAGGTCCCAGATAGGGTCTGTGGCCCTATCGAGGATATTACGACCGCACTTTCATACCGCGAAATCATCTTCTTGCTCGCGCTCGAGTACAGCACTGTACCTTCGATGATGGACATGTCACGTATGACGTGGGGTCCACTCAAGCCGGCCAATGCAGCACGTCTTCCATTCCACAATGCGCGGGCCTGGGAGAAGGCGGTCATCCCGGCTGTCATCGAGTTGGCTACGGCACGACGGCCGGTGGAGGCGAAGATCGTTATCTACTTGTCAATCACGCAGTGCCCGCCACGCAGTGCCCGCCACGCCAGTTCTTCGAGGTAACTCACTCTTCGTCATCTTTTGAGATGATTCTCATTATTATACAGACATTGTTCGACAGTGAGCGCCAGGCTGCGCTACCATCTACGACTCACCCCAAGTTGGTAAAGGTATCTTCATCCATTCGTACTATCAAAGCTACCTACTGATACATATTTTGCTAGGCTCCTTCGTCTCCTACTCCCAACCCGGCATCGCTGCCAGCATCTGCACCCTTGCCAGGGCCGTCCCGCTCTTCTGCCCCTGTTACTCCGATGGGCCATGTCTGGCAAAAGCTTACTGGCCTGCCCGATCCCGGTCTTGATGTTGACGACCTCTCGGATACTGAGGAATCGTCGCCCAAGGTCGGTCAACTAATTGTGTCTTGCCCATTTGCATCACGATTGACTGTTCATTTCATAGAAACCTCGCCGCTGGGACGAGGGAGTCGCGGAGAGCCGTGAGAAGATCCGAGAGCGCTGGGAGGGCAAGTGTGAGAAGCATAAGGAGTCTATCTGCTTCTACAATCGCGTCTCACGCACCCATACCATTGTCGATGATGCTCGTCTTACGCTCTGGGCATCGTGGATGGTGAGCACCACATTTACCAAATCTTTCTCGCAGAAATTCACACGCACAAAGGTCAATGGGCGTGCAACATTGACTGAACCGCCCGTCCAGTCAAAGACTTGGAATAAGCCAGCCGGTCAAATCAAGGACGATGATACGCCACCGGCCGTATTAACCCCCGCTCCCGCTCCCGCTCCCGCTCCCGCTCCCGCTCCCGCTCCCGCCCCCACTCCCGCCCCAGTACCACCGGCTATGCCATCTGCAATGAACCCGTACGGTGTCTATGGTGGTATGCCGCCGATGCCGATGCTGCCACCGCAAATGATGATGCCATTCCCAATGTTTGCCGGCAACTTTGGAGGCGGTGGTTTCGGGGGCTTTGGTAACCCGGGCATTCCATCCACGCCGAGTGCCAACATTGCAGGCCCTTCGTCGTTGTCGTGGGCTGTCACACCTCCATCGCGGAAACCGTTCTCCTCGCCGCCCCCAGCAGCGGACGACATTGACCTGGATACATTCTGCCAGTGCTACAAGCTCAAAGATAACATCAAGGTTGTGCTCGAGAAGCTCAGCTTTGAGATTGACAGCAACCTTGCTGTCCTGACAGAGACTCAGCTGCAGGCGGCTGGTATGCCAGTGTTGGCACTTGACCGGGTTCGTCGTGCGCAGTCGCAGTACAAGCGCGACGTTCGCGAGGGCCGTTTCTAGTTGTGTGTCGTGAATCGTCTGATCGTATCTTGCTCTCTTCCTGTTGCCGTTCGTTCTCCGCTACCCTCCCCTCGTTCCATCTCAGACATCATTACTATACAAGCTGTATACTGTTTCTCTGTATATACCTGCTCGCCATTCCCACTTCACATTCCTTTCCACCTCTATAACAGCCTACATTATCACTTTGCTTTAGTTACCAGATGTTAGCAGTACCTGCAATATGACTTCTATTGCAAGTCAAAAACTTCCGTGCGATGCCCAAAAAAATGAATAAAAGTGTGTAAAATAACGCAGGCAAAGGAAACAGTATATGAGTATTGTAGCGCACTTTCGGTGCTGAACGCATAGATGCGTCACACATCAAGACGCGTCGCTGGCACTTGCCGAGCGCGGCCGCGCTGCGCTCGCCCTCCTCACCGTTCGGCCCCGTACTTGTCACCCACCTCACGTATGGTGAGCGGAATACCGTAGGCTTATCGGGTACCCGCATCGGCATACAGGTGTACAATATCAAGGCGGTTGGACCGTATGTTCGCTGTGCAGGTCGCACCTAGCACCATCTTTGCTTTCGGGCTCGCCCTGGCCTCTACCGTTTACTGTATTTGGGCAAGAGTGTTAGGTATGATACTTTTCGAATCTTCTGTATGTATGGCATTCTATTTCTACTAGTTTCATATGCATATCTATTCCCTTCGGTACACTAGCTTCTGACACTCTCACCTTGGACCACTTCATCATCGGCCTCTCTCCCACCTTCCTGGTCCCAAATCCGCACTTTATTTGACAGTTCCGTGTTTGATGATGCGCCTGGTATCTATGGTTACTGATACTGTACACTATATGCTACCGATATATAGTATATAGTACATTATCATCCACTTCCGGTTGTCTGATTGTGCATCTACTTGTCTACATGACAGGCCACTAAGCACCAGGAAAATGAGCACTCCGAAAATAGCCCTTTGCCATATCTGCGGTCACACAGTCTGCTACTTCTTGAAGATCGGCCATGGGTGTCAAGCTTCCCATGAGACGGTGATAGTTGCGGCGAATCCAGTGCTTGACTGATGACTCTGTGTTACTATACGGTGCTAAAGAGACAATCAGAATAGCGACATACTTGCACTAAAAGCCCCCTCTATGGGATTGTAATCCGGAGAGTATGGTGGCAAGAAAAGAAGCATACAGCCTACACAGGTAGATCAGGACCAAATCCGCAAGAGGCCATACACTATTATGACTCACCTTGCGCTTCGACCATCTGGCGAAGCCACTCGCTCTTATGAATCGCACAGTTGTCAAGAAGTAGAACACTCTTATTGCCTGGGAACGGGTTCATCTGAGGCAACTACAACACGTCAGTCTCCGGTCTCTTCGTAGTACAAATATCGCAAGGGTACACACAATATCTTCAACAATAAAGTCAAAAAACTCCTCACTATTCACTGAACCCTCTACGACACGGGTAGCAACAAAGCCGTCTACTGCGAGACCAGCGACGAGGCTATACCGGTCCCCACGAACAAAATTTGCTTCAATCTCTGCTCGTACTCCTCGAGGTGCCCACCTATATCTCCGAAAGATTGTGCGTTCGTCCTTGCTTGTCTCGTCGACCGCAACGACCATGGAAGCCAATATGTTCTCGCAGATAAATTTATGATGGGCGGCACATATCACAGGATCGCGTTCAGCAGTAGTACGTCAAAGCAGTTTATAGGTATATTTGCAGTCATCCAAGATACACTGGACTGACCCCTTGTAGAGGTCAACATCGTGAGTGATGATAAGCCAGTCGCGAATCTCGTCAAGAAACATCGTAGGGTCGCTGTCAATTGTCCAGAGAAGATCCCCAACCTGAGGCACAGAGAGTGCAGGAGGGCGTCCCTGCAGCGGGTTGCGAGGGCGAATCACATCGCCATAATCATCGACATTATTGCGCCAACGATTCATGCTAGACACGGAGACCTCGAAGATGTCGCAGATCTCCTCGTCTGACATGTGGCCTTGCTCACAGTGCCATAGCACGAGCGCTTTGATCTCGCGGCTATGAGAGCGGTAGACCATGGCAGTCAGAGATCAAGGAACGCGCGCGCGGTGGGCGGGCCGGCGTGCCCGTGCACGCATTCGGCGGGCGCCTTTTTTCGCTTGTGCCTGTTCGTGCCTGCGCTCACGACGCGAAAGAAATAGAACGAAAACCAAGGTTTTCGTGAACAGCTGTAAAGTCTATAATTTACTTGCACTTTTTGATTGATAGCTCCTTGGTAGTACTGGTAGATCTAGTACAGGTAAAGCTAATCACCACATTGAGATAATGTTATAAAAATATAGCTGTTTGGATCTGTCCCTACTATTGTTATCCATGAGAAGCCTGCTTTGCAATTGTCTAATTATTATTGGAGTTCAAGGAAGAGGAACAGGTGGCTAGTACTCCATAACTGCTGGACAAATGTCCCTGATTTTTGAACTGGGAGTAGCTACAGATGTACACACTAGATTCGAGTACTTGCACTAGCTGTACCATACGTTCTCATAGTAAGTGCCACACTTATTTGTTTTTTATTTCCCTTACCTTAGTCAAAATGCCAGGACCTAACCGCTGAAGCTACAGCTATGCGCAGCTGGAATCATACACTTACATATATTCCCTAGCTACTGTGGTTGCAGTACAGGACTCTTCTCACTTGATTCTGCCTATTCCCCTTCAATATAGCTGTACCCTGCAGTCCCTTTGTTAGATATTGCCAATTCAATCACTGGAGGACGTATCTGGCACTATACTCAACACTTTGGACTATCCAGCCCACCCATGCAACCTCTAGTACTGGTGGGATGAGTCAAACATATTTACTTTGCGTTTTTAGGTGATTTATTTACATTTTATTTACAGTACATACTATACATCAATTGAATTGTCTCAATGAGGCGAGAAGAATGGTGTAGTTTATGTGGTGGAGAGTGGGGAAGGTGGGGAGAGACAGAGGTAAGAGTGGGAGGCATGGGATGTGAGCTGAGATCTAAGTACTCGCAAGTTGAGGCTTGGGCAAGCCTCACCTCAGGTTCACTTCTGCCTACTCCTACCCCTGTCTCTCCCCACCTCCCCCACCCCCCCACACATAAATTTCACCATTCTTCGGGCCTTATTGAGACAATTCTATTGATATATAGTATATACTGTAAATAAAATGTAAATAAATCACCTAAAAACGCAAAGTAAATATGTTTGACTCATTTCACCAGTACTAGAAGTTATATTGGCAGGCTCGGTACCTCAAATGGTATATGAAGGTATACAACATACACTCTAGTGGATAATGCAGCTATATACTCCAAGGTGAGGCCAGAGTAGAGATATATTTGAAGTGGACAGATAGAATGAACTGAGAAGAGCACTGTACTGTAGGTCTGGCAGCTAGAGTCATGCAGTACATACAGAAGCTACAGAACATGTATGAGACTACTATTCCAGCTTTGCATATCTGTAGCTATTCTAGTTAGACCCCTGTATCCTGTGCAAAGTAGAAATTCAAAAAACAAAAGAGTGCGGCGCTTACCGTGGAAATGTATAATACAGGTGGTGCAAGTACTAGACTCCAATGTGTGTATCTACAGCTTCCATTGATTCAAAAATCAAAGAATTCGACCAGTGATTATAGAGTACTAGCCGTCTGTTTGTCCTTTTTGAACTCCTATTAATAAATGGGCAAACACAGAATGGGGTTTCCAAGAATCATCAATGTAAATACTGATTTTGGAGCTGAGCTCACTACATGACTGACTTGCTAGGTAAATTCACTATATATGTACCAGATCTACCAGTACTGCTGATTGATTGGCAATCAGAAAATTCCAAATGCATTGTGGGCTCTATAGGGCTTACTGAATCATATACAACTCATGTGGATGTACTATTTGGGTATAGCTCCGTCATGTAGTATATTACTGGGCTGACAGAACCAAGAAATAGAGTAGATAGAAACAGCTAGCTAAATTAATTGTGGATGTGGTATCTGCATCCGCATCTGTGTCCGCATTTACACCTGTGCCTATGCCCACATCCGCATCTACTCCCTGATTCAATGTCTACCTGCTAAATTATATTGAGCCATGATCATCTGTACAATAACCTTATTCATCTTTTTTAGTTGTTATTTACCCATGCTCATGTCCAAATCTGTATGATAGAAGACTAGACTGACTCTGTTGTAACTAGGTATCATTGATATTGATGGTGTGCTGGTGCTAGATGCTGGATACACTAAATCAGATGGGGCTTTGGCATCCACATCTGCATTTACAGCTGCATCTGCATCTATATTCCCATCCGCAATCTACATCTATTTTCGCATCTACATTTACATCCGCATCAACATCAACATCCGCATCCGCATTCACTCTGCATTTACATATACATCTGCACTTGTACCCGCATCCACATCTGCCTCCAGCTCCTTATCTTATATATATAACTCCACAATATTGGAGATTGCTGGTATCTCCCAAACTGGTTTACCACTTCTGTCAGCTTGAGTAGTCTTTTAACTCTAAATGGGATAATAAAAGTCTTTATTATAGGGTGTAGACTTTACTGTTAGTTTTATATTAATATTTGGCTGAGTTCTGTAGTTCTGTTCCTATAATTGGACACTTGAGACTGCCTGCATTACCAGTACCATTTAGAGTACTAATTGTATATATTTCCTCCTTGGTTTTTAACTGCCCGCATCTGATTATAGCCTCTGCACCTCGGCATCCGTCCCCCCGCTCTGGTGGGGCAAGTCCGTCTTGAGCCTCCTGAAAGCCGCATCCGACCTGCAGATGCAGGCTGCCACCATCCGCCTCCACAATTAATGGTTAATGACTGGCAAACCCGGGACTAACAAGGCTTTTAATCACCGGGTTTTCCGGGCCTAGCTAGCTAAATGGGGTCACAATCGCAATACTATACAGCTTGACAATTGCACCCTCAATGTTAGTATAGTTCATTTTTGGTGCAAGTGAGCCATACGGGAGGACTGAGGCCATGATCGCATCTATTATAAGTACAGTGAGTGTCAACCCTGGTGCAGACTCATGTAGACGTACCAAGGCCGTCCTGAACCTTGCCGCTAATGTCACTGCAAGTCTTAGGCACTGTAACTTTGGTCATAGGAACTGAAAGGTATGAGTCAGTGTCTGTATTTTGATACCACACAAGTACATACCCCCGAAGTCCGGACTGTCCGCGACCCCCAATGCATAGTATCCCTCCAGCATCTTTGCAATCACTCCTGGCTTTCTCCTGTTAAGGTCGATATTCTTTAGAAACTTCTTTGCCGTCTCAGTTGTGTGCACTATGCACTACGTGGATGACCGCAATTGCTCGGCCACAAAGGAGAATAAAATCCTGGGTTGATTCTAAGTCTGATAAGCCTTTATCGTTGGGAAAATCCTAAGAAAAATTGTGCCGTTTTGGCCCTGACTTACGGATTTGCGGTAAGATTCGATTACCATTTTCACCCAACAGAATGCCATCACAAACTAAGAATCAACTAAACAGCCCATCAGGATTTCCGTGGCAGCAAATTCCGTCATCGACGTGGTGATGGGCGTGAAGGGGAGGTGAGGGTTGCCTGGGGCGATAATTATGATGGCTTCAATGCCTGGGGCAACCCCTTCAGCATCGCGGGTCCAAGAAACTCGCGGAACAAGTGTCGAGAAACTCGGAAAACTAGCCATAACTAGTGCGCGGCTCCGGGAGAGCATCCCGAGGCTGCTTGGGGCTGGCACATCGGAGGGGGGGGGGTGACATTGACCTCTGATACTCCTTACATGCCTTAGGAAACCCACATAGAGTCCAGATGTTTAGTATGTACATTGCTAGCTATCCTACACACTGCATAAATATCAAGTATGTAAGCTCTGCTATGCTTAGTGATGGAAATCTCACCTCCAGGCAAAGTATAGATCCGGCGAAGGTCCAGATCCGGTGGAGATCCAGCTCCCTGGGAGATCCAACTCCCTGGGAGATCCAGCTCCCCCAGAGATCCAGCTCTCCCAAAGATCTAGGTCCAGCAGAGATCCAGCTCCAGCTAGTGGTGGAGGTCCCGTTCCAGCTGATATGGCATCCACTAGGCTGGGTCTGCACCAGATATAGCACCAAATGATGGGTATGGCTCTGATTCTTAACTTGACAATACTCTCACACATGGCTTTAAGATCAGTATTAATGTGGGAGCTTATCATGAGTTGTTGATCTCTACACTCACCTTCTTATCTCAGGCTCGGCAGGTCTTGGATTTACTAGGCCAGCTCTTATCATAGTATAGCATCAGATAAAGAGTATAGCATCAGCTCTTGAGTTTGGACTATGATAGTCTTTGATTGTGCATCTAAAACCGAATGAAGAGCTTGACATGGGTTTTTGATCTCTACACTCACTGATTAGTCTCAGGCCTGGCGGATCTAGCATTCACTTGGTTGAGTGTCAGCTTGGGATAGCACTAGATGATGGGTATAGCACCAGTGCTGAAGTTTGAAATCTTATGGCTTTTGAATTTAGGTTCAGAATGAGTTGGAAAGCTTAGTTCAAGTTTCTGGTCTCTGGACTCACTTTTTAGTCCCAGACCCGCCGGGTCTGCTATACCCGGCGGGTATGGCATCTACTATGCTAGGTTTCAGCCAGGTATAGCTTCAGATGACAAGTTTGGCACCATGTTTTAAGCCTCAGATGTCACAACCATCATTTTCAAGCTCAGAGCCAATGTAGGAGATTTGTATAGGCTCTTTGGTCTTTGTACTTACTTTCTGGCCCTAGACCCGGCGGGTCTAGCACCCACTAGACTGAGCTTTAACCAAGTATAGCATAATCTAAAGAATATAGTACCAGTTTTTAAGTTCGAAATGCTATAGCCTTCAATTTCAGATTCAAAATCAACCAGGGAGCTTAGTATAGGTTTTGCGCCTTTGTACTGGCTTTATAGTCCCAGACCTGGTGGGTATAACATGCACTGAGCTGTGTGTCAGCCGGATATAGCATCAGACAAAGGACATGATACTATCCTTTGAGTTTGAAATGTTATGATCTT